TTTTTTTATATTATATTCTCAACTATACAATTAATTTCATATTGTTTCAACTATGTAATTTTTTTCATTTTGTCTCGACACGTTATCTGATAATGGCCTTTTTGACATATTCAATGATAATGGGCCTTTTTGACATCCACCTATGCAAAGAGAAAGGACAAAAATTTGGGTTTACAGAACTTGGCTCTCTAGAAATTTTAAAATTTCATTTCACCCTTTTAAAATTAAAATTCTCTCAGTATAGCTTAAATTCTTCAAAAGACACCAACCCCTTTAGCCTCAAACTAGGACAAAAAAGGACACATTCATTTATAAAATTCTACGTGTAGTGCAAGACTTTTAATTTTGAGGGGTTAAAACAAGAAATTTAAAATACTATAGGCGGTAGAGTGGCGTATCCAAAAGTACCAAACATCTAACTAAAATATAACATGAAGTGAATGATATTTACTAAACAACTTAACGACATTGAAGCCATAGTATAGACATGTAAAGAGTCAACAACCCCATTTTTCCACCATGACAATTGTGTATTTGTGTGTATGTGTATGTAGTTATGTTTAATTTGTCAAGGCTTTCTATCCTTGCACAACATAAAAATCAGAACACACTTATCAATTTGTTTTATCATTGATGTGGGGATTTTGTTCATTCGAATATGTCCTGCTATAGTCAGGGGCGGCCCAACACAATTGGAGGTCCTAGGCAGAGATATAAGATGAGTCCCCAATTTTATAGTATAGTAGTATAGATAGGACTAAATAATTATTAAAAACTAATATATATTCATTTGAATTTTTCTTTCTTATTTTTGAGATATAAAAATACTAATCTAGTTTTTGCATTCATTTTATGCATAAAAAATTCATTAGTTGAAGTTGAATTTGAAGACCAAAATATAATTATGGTTGTTATTGGTTAACAATATAAAGAAAAAATTAAAGTTTATTAATGTATAAAATTTATTTTTTATAAAACAGATGTCAGTAGAATTTTCAATAGTAAGTTACTTCTGCACACTATGTATTCTAGTCATTTTATGTGCTTCTTGTGTGTTAAAAAACAGTTGAGCAAAAAATCCAATCTATATAACAACGCCCCGAATTTAAGTTGGGGAAAAACTACAATTTTTTAAAAATTAGGTTATAGATAGTATTAGTTAATTGACTTTGAGAAGATACGTTGTTGCTGGTGTTCCAAAATTGTAAAATCACTTATTGAAATTTCTAATTTAAAATTTGTAATGTATAACAAAACAGCAAGAAAAGAGTTACGCGAAAGAGTTACACAAAACCAGTCTTACACGAAAGAGTTACAGCAGTCCTACGAAACAATAACAACAAACAGTTACACGTAATTGTTTGTCAAACTAAAATAAATACTAACTCGGTTGCAGAACATGAACTATTATTGAAATTGATGTAGATCAAGGCTAGTGTTTGACACTATGTCTTTAAAACAGATTTCCCACTCACACACGTTGTTTATGGAATATCAAGTGTTTGCCTCTCAGGATACAATAATCTTTACACAAACAGATGTAACACTTCAATCTACTCGTTCAGCGAACCAAACTTGTCTTGTGTACTCTCCAAATGTAGACTTCTTAATGCCGATAATGTTATGCACTAATGTTTGACTTAACTTCGATGAATGACTGATATTGATAATTGTAATGAATTAATTCAGAATGCTAATGAACTTGAGTATTTATAAACAGCTATGGTGACTCTGCGGACAGTTACCACAAAAGACACAAACCAGGAAGACAAATGCAAATCAGTAGGTACCATTGTTTTAACTATTCTCCAAGAACAGACACGTCTTTAAAGTTTCGGATTGGACTCAAAATTTCGGATTGGATGGATGTCCAAATCCGAACCAATGTGATTTAAAGGATACCAAAAATTCAATTTCGGGTTAAGAAATTTTTGTCCAATTAATTAAACGAATTTTTTCCAAAAATATAGGGCTTGGTCTAAACCACACCGAAGCCCGGCCAAGCCGGGCCGCGTGAGCGTGTGTGGTCGAACCGAAGGCATGTAGGCACTCGTTCCGTTCATAAAACTGTGGTACCCCTTGAACTCAATTTCATAGAGCAAACTTGGTCGATATATGCTCATGTTGAATTTTTTCCTCAACCAATGTGTGATTGGTGTCAAATTCTACATTGCACTACCTTTATTTTCACAATTCAAGAGGGTTACTTTGAAGCCTATTTTCTCATTCATTTTTTATTCGATTTGAACAAATGAATATATCACGTTATTCTCCTCACGGAGTAGAATATGAACTCACATAAATTTATTCAAAATAACGAATGGGTCCCACTTGAATTTAAGCTCAAACTCGACCAAAATTTTAATTTTTTACACTTAAAAATTGTTTTAGTCCAACAATATAGGTGTAAAATTGTTTTTACACCTATGCCTAGGCTGGCCCTGGCTATTGTACAGGAAGCTCTCAATGGGAAATCTCCCTCAATACAATTTGGTCCAAGATAAAGAGGGTTTAGAGTGAAGATTTTAAGCCTAGCAATCAAGGGAGGTTTTTATTGGAGCCTAGACCGGTTAGGGGAATCAGTTGCATCTGCAGAGCCAAGGAAAACTCCTCGTCAGTTAAGGCTTTTCAAGACATGAATAATGTTACATAATTCAAATATAAAATTCAAAAAATTATAATTATAATTTAAATGCATATCATCTCTTTAAATGAGTAGATCCCATTAACTTTTTCAGTAGGACACATTCATCTAACACTCATTTAAGAGATAATATGTATTTGAGTTGTAATTTTAAGGTTCCATTTGGATTGTGTAGTATTTTCCTAAAGACATGATCAAGAATAAGGGGAGGTTAGTGGTTGACCTAATAGTTATCAGCCCTGTTGTTGGACTTTAAAGTCACAAGTTTGAATCTCTTCGTCTTATTTCCTATAAAATTTAACTTGAGAGTCTAAACGTATTAGATTAGAATCATACTTATGTTCCCTTTAAAGCTCTGTTTTTCTTTATTCTTATAACTAAAAATTACATGTGTCATTTTTACTTGCTTAACATCGAATTTCAATTAATCTGAATCCATATCTAATTTAAAAACTCCTACAAATATTCGATTCAAGCAATTGATCAAACCCAAATAATTAATAAGAGCGGAATTTCAATAACTTATTTATGAAATTTTAACTAAATTTTATCAAATAATCACTTCATTTTATCATATATATTTTTACATATTAGATTGAATTATAGCTGGATAAGCTATTAACATAGCAAAGTCCAATATATTAATTACAACATAAATAGCTTCGAGCTCAAATTATTCATAAAAAAATATGAATTCATTTTGAATTAAATTGATTTCTAATCCATAGTTATATAGATTTAAATCTAACCTATTACAGGATGTCTAACAAAATGGTTGGCCTCCTACCTTGCGTTGGAAGTGACACATGTGGTTCATGTGTCTTTTGGCGGTTAGCTTTTCGGGCTAGATAATAAGCATAAGGCATTTTAAGCCGGAACGAGACAAGCAAATAAAGGGAGGCATAACGGGCCAACTACAAGAAGAAGTAAAGCTTTGTAGATCTGATAAGTTGCCTATAGAATGTTGACCACTACATAAGTCTTGACTTCTTATGTCTCCTTTTTAAAACTTAAAAAATTAAGGACTAGTTTGATAACGTTTTTGTTTTCGTATTTTTAAAAGACAAGAAAACAGAAATAATTTTTGTTTTGTTTTAAAAAATCACACAGAAATCACACACACACGCACAAAAATTAGACACACACACAGAGAAATTACACACACACAGAAATTACATACATGCAGAAATCACGCACACGCACATACAAAAATCACACACACACAGACGAAAAAAGTGGGTTTCGTGGATTCGATCTTCATCTTTGTCGTCTTCGTATTGGTTTGGTTTCTGTGTGAGAGAGAAAGAGTGACGAAAAAAGAAAAATGAAAGAGGAGAAGGGTTTTTATAGTAACAACAAAAATACCCTCTTTTTAATGCTAATGGAATTTGAACGAGAGATCTCATTAAATGAGACTGTATACGCACACGTGTTTTTAATTTTTCTTGTTTTCAAGAACATCTTTTTTTTGGGTCTTGTTTTTGAAATAACTTATTTGTATAAAATAGAAATACAAACTCAAACATGTTTTTATTTTTGTTTTGCCCAAAAAACGGAAACAAAAATAAGAACCAAATGACCCTGAGTCTTGATTTATTTTTAAAATTTCTATTGCGATTTTTCCGTTAAGTGCAAATACATTACACTAATACTATTGAGACATAATTTATCGACATAATTTGGGAACATAATGAGTTGTCACCAATGAAGTGATACTGAAGTATATTTAATGATGAGTCACATTGTAACATTAAATGAATTCATTATTATACCATTGGTGACAACTCACTATGTTCCCAAATTATATTTATGAATTATGTCTCAATAGAATTACTCAATACATTATTTGAAAAGTATAATTATCAATTATTTATTATAATATCTATTATAATAATGACCAATGAGTATAAATTTACATATAAAAAAAATCACATGCTCCCGCATTTCTCCAACACTAACAATCGCAGCTGGTTGGGTTTTTTTTTAAACTAGCAAAGTTGTTGGTCGATAGATGCAAAATTTTTTTTGGGGGTGTTGAAGAAGAAAAGAAGTGCAGTATCCAGCCTTCCAGGAGGTGGACAGTCTTAGGAACCAACCAGAACTGTCCATGTCACTTCGCCAAACCCCTCTCTCTCGCTCTCTCTCTCTCTCTTATATTATTTATTCTATTCTTCAAGTGTTCCTATTTATTCTCAAGTGTTCCGTTTTGTCAACACCACTGTTCTCTCTTTCTCTCTATCTGCCTTTTTTCACAAATTCAATTGAATCCATCTTTCAGTTCAAAGCCATATTTTAGATCTCAAACCAACCCATACTGTTCCTACCCGAAATCCGAAATGGACATTCACTGACCCAGATGAGGAAATCAGTTGAAAAGCTTATGTCTTCCACAGAGGTAAGTTATAATGCTGTAATCATTCTCTCACAAACACACAGCCATATTTCCTGCACAATGCACTATGTGAATTGGTCATCAATTTTGTTCCTTTAGTGCAAAAATATTATTGCTTGCAGAAGTATGGAGACCCAGCACTCATGAGGTTCTTGATTGCCAGATCAATGGACCCAGACAAAACTGCAAAGATGTTTGTTCAGTGGCAGAAATGGTGGACTGCATTGGTGCCTTCAGGGTTCATCTCTGACTCTGAAGTTGGCGATGAATTGGGATCTAAAAAGATTTACTTACAGGGTTTATCAAAAAATGGACACCCAGTAATTATTGTAAGAGCAAGCAAGCATTTTACTTCCAAGGATCAGCTCCAATTCAAAAGTAATTTCCCTTCTTTTTTTTTTTCTCTCTCTCATTGTCTTGCATTAATTGTCATTGATTAGTCAATAATCATGTGGTTTGTGTCCCTAAGAGATTAGATTCTTTCTGATTGATACAATGATGCCTTCTTATCTTATATTGTCCTACATTGATGGGCCATCATATGAATGTTCCGAAAAAGAAAAGTTTCATAACAAAAGTCCATTTTGATTTGGACAACTTGAAGTTATCAATACTTTTAGTGTGCTTAGACTTATTGTCACAGGGCCACTCAGTGGTGGTGTTCCAGGGTTTGTTAGCCTTTCATTGTTGGACAATTTCCACATATGGTTGTTTTTTTATAATTGTTTTTATGAGCTTTAGGAATGTCATGCTAAAGGACAATAATGTAGTTTTAAGTCACAATCATCATAGTCACCAAAGCCTATTGCTAAAGATAATGTTCCTATGATTATTTAATATTGAATCGGGAAGGGTCGTTAATATGCCCTTTTTAAACAAAATAAGTGGTTTTGGGCCAGTGATTATGAAATGATTCCACCTAATGATCAGGAATCAGCAGTCCAGCTGAATTTTGGTGCTTGGAATTCAGCGAGTTATAGAATATTCTTTATTAGTTTGGTAGGCCTAATGAATTTCCCTTTAAGAAAATGGTATCAGATAAAAACAGCTTATATGTTTCTTGATCTCGTGTAGCTACGGCTTTTTATGTCGACATTTTTGTTTATCTTTGTTTTGCAGCTTTGTTTTGTTTATTTATTAAATTACAAAGTCAAATAAGTCAAATCTTAACTTGGTGAAATTACTTTCTGGAACTTTATGGTGAAGTTCATTTGGTAAAAAATTTATGGTCATTGTGCATGGGGGTGCAAAGCTCCATTTGCTGATTGTGGCATAAGAGAAATAAATGTTGTGGTACAAGTAAAGCTTCTTTTCCTGCAGTCAACTTCCTTTTTGTTAATCAAAAGATCGTGAACTTCATTGCCTCTCCATCAGTTTTTCGTCCCTTTATTCTAATGCATCCATAGTATTCTGGGCTTATTTAATCAATCCTGATTCTGGATACATATTTTAGTAGCAATCAACATATTTCCACACGCAACATGAGGAAGTGACAAAAACAAGTATGGATCCTACACTTGGATGGAAAATGTCCTCTTAAATAATATGTTTCTCATTTGGAATGACATTCAAAGCTGTTTCTTGTATTTCTTTCCTCTAAAAATCAGACAGTCTTGTCATAACTCATTTTAAAATACCTAAGCTATGTAAGCTACATAATCTTTTCTCTTTATGTGCTAATTAGGCTTGTTGATTTGCGATATTATTTACAGAATTGATCAGAATAGACATAAAATATTGTGAAAAATATCTATACCAGATAGCACTTATCAGCTTGATCCTGGTTTCTCTAAATTTTTACCATGGCTGCTGGTCATTCACTGCTTTAATAAGTCCATATCTAAGCAAGTGGATGAATCGTAAAACATATCAGAAAGTTATTATTTTTCGCATAGTTTATGCAATTACTTATTTTGCCAGTATGTATCTCTCTGAACTTTGAAAATAAGTAATGATGGGTTAAGCCCAAATAGTCCAATTTATGTATTAAAGCCCAACCCCGGTTGAGGAGCCCAACCTCATTGTGAATCCACCAAGTCTAAGACAGACCAAGGCCGGTTAGACTTCTTGCTTAGCACGTCACCAAGAGGAAGCACGGGAAGCTTAAGGCCGGTTAGACTTCTTGTTTAGCACGTCACCAAGAGGAAGCACGGGAAGCTTAAGGCCGGTTAGACTTCTTGCTTAGCACGTCACCAAGAGGAAGCACGGGAAGCTTGAGGCCGGTTAGACTTCTTGCTTAGCACGTCACCAAGAGGAGAGCACGGGAAGCTTATCCACACCATCGAAGGAAGGAAACGGTCCAATCTTTGACCACATTTCATGAAAAGCTCCCCAACCTCTTCCTTCCGTTGAGGATAAGTCGTGATCTCCACCAAAGATAATCTCTAAGCTGCAATAAAGAAGCCTTGAGGATATGTCATGATCTCCACAAGAATGATCTCTTATCTACTATAAAATGGCTCTAATCTGGGAGAGGAGGGACACACTCCATCAGAGATTTACAGAAGACGAACCGACTATCGGAGATTATTATTTTCTTTGATTCTCCATTCCCCCTCTCAAAGCTTGTATCTTCATTCTCCATACCTTTGAATCAATAAAATACCCGGCGACTGAAGCCATTGAAGAGTGGACGTAGGTCGAATTGACCGAACCACTATAAATTGTGTCTTCTTTAATTTTTTCGTTGATTTCATTGCATTTATTATCTATACTTGACAGGTGGTGTGCAAAACCATTTTGTGCATCATCAGTTTGGCGCCGTCTGTGGGAATCGACAAAATTCTCACTCCTGAACATTACGTCCATTAACTAATGGCGATCACTACTCGATCCATGAACCAACACGAAGACAATCCTCCACGAGAGGAAGAGGTTGCTCCCCCGCCTATCAACCCTGTTCCGGATACTCTAGCCCCGAATCCCCAACAAATATTGGAGACCATGCAGCAACTGGTTGCTCAAAACCAACAGTTACTGCAACTCATACTTGCTGGACAAGAAGGAGCACCACACGGAGGTGCACAACATGGAGGACCCCAAGTTGGAGGGCCCACGGAGGTGCACAACATAGAGCACCCCAAGGAGCTCCACATCCTGGACATCAAGAAGCACCACGCCCTGTTGCTCCACGCCCGGGTGCCCCATTGGGCACCCCACTTCGGAAAGCCCAACATGAGGGAGCTGCACCTCCCCCTCCCCTTGCTTTCCAGGGAGAGGACCCTTATCTCCAGGAGGATGAGGGTGAAAACCAAAGCATGGGGCATGGAAGCCACTTCCATGATCATTCCAAAAGAGCCCCCAATCATTGGGACGAGAAGATAAAGGAGGTACAGAATCAACTCGGTGATGTCTTCAACGCCATGAAGGCACAAGGACCCGAGACTGTTGACCACCTGGTAAGGCGTACTGATACCCCTTTCAAACTCGATGTAGCAAACTACCCCCTCCCTCAGAAGTTCAAAATGCCATCTGTGGAGACCTTTGATGGAACAAAGGATCCACTGGACCACCTCGACACTTACAAGACCTTGATGCAATTGCACAACGTACCAGACGAAATCATGTGCAGGGCATTCCCAACCACATTAAAAGGGTCTGCCCGACAGTGGTTTGCTAAGCTCTCCCCCGCCTCTATTACCTCTTTTGCCGAGCTTAGCAGATCATTCGTCTCACACTTCATAGGAGGGCGTCGCCACCAGAAGCCAGTTACGCACCTGCTTAGTATAAAGCAGGACCGCGAGGAGAGCCTGAGGAGTTACCTCACTCGTTTTAACGAGGAGGTACTCCAAGTTGATGAACCCGACGACAAGGTGACGATGACCGCCTTCTTGGGTGGCCTCCGTTCATCAAGTTTCCTTTTCTCAGTTCTGAAGCGCCCACCGAAGAGCATGCCAGAACTATTCACAAAAGCTCAAAGATATATGAATGCTGAGGAAATCAACAAGTTTAGGCAAGGTGAATCATCTCACAGATCACCAGAAACTTGACCTGCCTCTGCACTGTTCTCAAACAGGCAGCCTATCTCCAGTTTAACGGCTCTCTCACGGGTCGCCAAAAAAAAAAAAAAAAAAAAAAAAAAAAACTTAGCCTCTGTACTGTTCTCAAACAGGCAGCCTATCTCCAGTTTAGCGGCTCTCTCACGGGTCGCCAAAAAACTTGGCCTCTGCGCTGTTCTCAAACAGGCAGCCTATCTCCAGTTTAGCGGTTCTCTCACGGATCGCCAAAAAACTTGGCCTCTGCACTGTTCTCAAACAGGCAGCCTATCTCCACTTAGCGGCTCTCTCACGGGTCGCCAAAAAACTTGGCCTCTGCACTGTTTTCAAACAGGCAGCCTATCTCCAGTTTAGCGGTTCTCTCACGGATCGGCAAAAAAAAAAAAAAAACAAAAAACAAAATAAAACTTGGCCTCTGCACTGTTCTCAAACAGGCAGCCTATCTCCAGCTTAGCGGCTCTCTCACGGGTCACCAAAAAAGCTTGGCCTCTGCACTGTTCTCAAACAGAAAGCTTATACCTCAAGCTTAAAGACTCCCTCATGGGTCGCCAAAAGCTAGGTCTCAAAAAGTGTAGCTCTCTCACGAGCAGTTCTCCAACTCTGTCTTTGCTCTCGCGCAAGCAGCCTACTTCTCTCTCTCTCTCCAGGTAATTATGTGAGATATTTTAATGTTTGGAATAACATTATTTTTGTCATCACAAGTAGGTTCTCCCGAGGCAGCCCCAGGCTCACCCAAGGCGCCCAGCACCTGGAGAAGGGCTTGATCATCAAGAGCAGCACCCAAAGGTTCCTTACTACTTGCAATGTCTAGCCCAATGCCTAGAAGTGTGCCTGACTGCTGTTGCTCGTCAAAACAAAGTTGCCCAGTAGCTTGAAGGCTGTCTGGCCCTTCAAAATTGCGCAAAGCAGAATTTTCGGCGTAAAATTAGCACCTAAGACGCCCAAATTAGCACCTCGAGTGGGAATCGGATCAGCCCATGCTCCCAGGCCACTGCCTAGCTCTCCCTGACGAACCTTGGACTGATTTTCAGCTCCCCTTGATGAAAAAATGCTGCTGACCAGCGTTCCAAAGCCGCCCAGCGCAGCAGATCTGAAGCTGTCCGGGACAGCAGAAGCAGCAGCTAGGCTGCTGCCCAGCGCACCTGGGCTGTCCAGGACAGCAAGGCCAGCGCCCAGGCAGCTGCCCAGCGCGCCTGGGCTGTCCAGGATGCGAGGAGCAGAGCCTAGGCAGCCGCCCAGGCCCCCTGCGCTGCCTGCGCTGCGCTCCTGGCCTGCGCTGCCCAGCTGCGCACCTGCGCTGCGCAGCCGCGCGCCTGCGCTGCCCAGTCGCGCGCCCAGCGCGCCTGCGCTGCCCAATCGCGCGCCCAGCAGTCTCCCTTTCTTCAACCTCCACTACTCCCTTTTCAAAATAAAATGGGAAAGATTTGAAGTTTAAAAAAAAAAAAAAAATGTAATCAATGCCTCCTTCTCCAAGTCTCCTTGGACATGGGGCATTGGGGGGCAAATGATGGGTTAAGCCCAAATAGTCCAATTTATGTATTAAAGCCCAACCCCGGTTGAGGAGCCCAACCTCATTGTGAATCCACCAAGTCTAAGACAGACCAAGGCCGGTTAGACTTCTTGCTTAGCACGTCACCAAGAGGAAGCACGGGAAGCTTAAGGCCGGTTAGACTTCTTGCTTAGCACGTCACCAAGAGGAAGCACGGGAAGCTTTAGGCCGGTTAGACTTCTTGCTTAGCACGTCACCAAGAGGAGAGCACGGGAAGCTTATCCACACCATCGAAGGAAGGAAACGGTCCAATCTTTGACCACGTTTCATGAAGAGCTCTCCAACCTCTTCCTTCCGTTGAGGATAAGTCGTGATCTCCACCAAAGATAATCTCTAAGCTGCGATAAAGAAGCCTTGAGGATATGTCATGATCTCCACAAGAATGATCTCTTATCTACTATAAAATGGCTCTAATCTGGAGAGGAGGGACATGCTCCATCAGAGACTTACAGAAGACGAACCGACTACCGGAGATTACTATTTTCTTTAATTCTCCATTCTCCCTCTAAAAGCTTGTATCTCCATTCTCCATACCTTTGAATCAATAAAATACCCGGCGACTGAAGCCGTTGAAGAGTGGACGTAGGTCGAATTGACCGAACCACTATAAATTGTGTCTTCTTTAATTTTTTCGTTGATTTCATTGTATTTATTATCTACACTTGACAGGTGGTGTGCAAAACCATTTTTGTGCATCATCAAGTAATATGTAAAAAGAGGATCTATAATGTGTTCCTTTGGCAAACGTCTATAGAATGCTTTAATAGGTCAGCTTGAGTTACTTTGAAGTCACAAAGGATCACGGGTATGAAGCATTGTAATGTTGCATGAATTGACTAGTAACCTTTATATTTAATGTGTTAAGCTAGTCAACAATATGCTATGTGGTGTATGTCATAACGAAATAATCCATCCATTTGCCAATGAACGAAAAAATGCAAGTGAACAGAAATATCATTTTCTTCTCATCTCTCAATAACAATTAGACAACAAATATCTGATTCGACTTTTTTTTGCCTCTTGGTGCAGAATTCGTTGTCCATTTGCTAGACAAAACAATTGCAAGCTATCATTCTAATTATTTGTTTGATGATTAAAATGTGTATGGATATCGGTTTAATGGGTTTTTGTTGAATGTGCACAGCTAAATGTGGTTGTAGCTGTTGTTGGTAATATATATATATATATATATATATATTGATAATTAGCTATTGTTTTTAATAAATTTTTTTTTTGAGAATAGCAAGAAAGAAGTAAGTAAAAAACACATGCTTATAAAATTGTCTTCTTCAAAGTGCATGTGCGCGTGTAGAAAAATGCTTACATTTACAAAGAGGAGTGGATTATTTCAATTGTATTAGGGATAGCGTGACTTTTTGGTTTCCTTGTGAATTTTGGTAATGAAGAAGTTCAAAGTTCTCCTCTTTTGTTCATTCAATGAAAATGTAGTGCAGCTCTTCTGTACAATCGGTGTTGTGCCTTTTTTGTTGTTGTTTTGTCTGATTTTGACCATTTCTATCAATAACACCAGTCAATCAGCTCTGTGTGGAATTTGCATTTCTAGAGTGCATAATTATTTTGTACTAATGAAAGCTATCTGGTGAGATGATGCTATGAGAGCAGAGATGATATCTTTGGGAGTAAGCCATCTCTTAGTGGAGGGGTAGTTGTCAATGATTGTAGGTTTGCAGAGTAAAAGATGAGGGGTTCTTGGCCTTCATTATTTTTGACAAGTTTGGCATGTCTCTGCCTCTGTCTTTTTCTGTTCTCCTTGTTTTTAAAGGTCTGGCAATGACGAGGTGGACTTCTAGGCTACGATGAGGCTACACAAGTTTAAATGGCCAATATGTAATTTCTCAGACTTAGGGTCAATGGCCCCCTGGTCCTAAGGTGGATTTGCCCCAGCATCCTGACTTATACTTGAATATTTTAGTTGATTTCACATTCTCTCCTTTGATTCTATTTTCGGGGTTGATCTCTTGTCCATGTTCACATTTTGATAACTAGCGTCCAGTGACAATTTTGTTACCTGCTAAAAGTTAAATAAAAGTGTGTATCTGCCCTTGCGTTTTGTTGTGAGTGAGCATTTTAGGTGTCATTATCATACTATTCCCAGTCGTCCAATTTGTAATGCTAAGCAAAGCACAGATGGTCTCTGTTGCAGTGTGCCTTCTCTTCAAAAAGAGTTTTTTTTTTGTTTTATTGTTTATATATGATGATCGAAAAGAAAAGAAGCATTTATTGGGGTCGCTCTATCTGGCAAAATTGGGATATGTTAGCTGTCATGCATATCTATCTCCGTTTCACTTCAAGGTCTGGCAATGATGGGTGCTCATCTTGGCTAAGCCAAGAGGGGTATTACATCCGTTGGGTGTGTTTGGGGCCATATGACCCTCTGATCTTATTGGATCTTTGGTTGTTTGTGTTTGGGACTATGATTCAATTTAGTTGCTTGTTCTACTTTTGTTCTTGTTTATTTTGTCTATGTTCGTACATGGAAAAATTCATTTTTTACTAAAGTAGTTTTCTATGGAAAAAGTGCATGCACACATTTATATGCATGAGAGAGAGAGAGAGAGAGAGAGAGAGAGAGAGGTGCATTTAGCAAAGGAGGGAAAAAAAGGAATCGTGTATTGAAAATATTGAATATTTACCTGGGTGTTTCTTCTTATTATAATCTCTTCTTGGCTGTGGCTTGTATTTGTACAGACAGATATTAATATACTTACCTGGGTACGAATATGACTTTCAAAAGATTGGCACCTTCTTCTAGGAATCCACACTTGCACCAATATCATAAATTCTTTTTATCTTCATATTTCTGTTCCATTTGCAATAATAAGTGGTCTATAATCTTCTTATTGTTTCCGACTTGTGGTTTCCTTCTCACATTCTTTCCACTTGTGATTTTAGCTTTATGATAAACTTCTTGTTTCTTTTTCATAGCTCTTTGTCACTTTGTGCAATATTAAATGTCTACACATTTATCATTGTATGTCTGTTATACTCTCTCTCATGTGGACTAGTCTTATATCCTTCTCCCTAACTGATTTTTTTTTAAGTTTTTTATTTTCTTCTAGCAAGACATTTCATTCTTGCATGGATTTCCGTGTACTTTTTACAGTTCTTTTAAAGGCAGAGAGATTGGAAATGAAAAGCTGACTGCTGTTTTTGATTTACAACAAATTACATTCAAAAACATTGATGCACGTGGGTTAATCACTGGTTTTCAGTTTTTGCAGGTAATTCTTTTTTGTGTTATCATTCTATTACAGAAATTTTAGTGTAAATGGCAATAGATAAGAAGCATCAAGCATATGACTTATGAAGGTGTTTATACAGCTCTATTACAATTTTTTACTGGAAATTCTTTTGGAGTCATTTCCCTTGGCACAAATAATTGAACAGACGTGTCTATGAAAACATAACAAATGGAGTTCGGTCTTCACAAATCAAATTTGAAACTAACTCGACTGCAGTCAATTTCTACAATCATATGTTCTTTTGTGTTCCCTATGCATAATGCCTTGTACAATAGCTTGGAATTGGTTCTTTATTTGTTCATTGGTTTCTTAACTTGATTTATAGTTTGAAGATGTGGAACATGATCAAGGTTTTCTTCTGGTGTACTAGCTTCTAGTCATTGTGCTGCCATGAACTTGTCTGGGTTCACGAAATTTGTGCAGATCACCTTTGTTAGAGGCCAAACCTCTGGTTTTGATCGCAAATCTGGTTCTAGGTTTATTATTGATGATAGGGTTCTTTTATATCTGAGTCATACTAAGCAAGTGTAGGGTAATATCGTAACTACAATCCTTCTAGTATAAATAAGTGGGTGTAGGACAACACAACTCATATACAGATTTTCTTCTCAACTTTTCTTTCTCTCTTTCTCTCATTTCACTTTTTCTTCCTTAAACACTTGTACCACTACAAGTACATGTTCAAAATGCCATGGAATCTCCTCAACTAAATTACAAATGTAGATTTAATGCAATCGTATATTTTGTAAGTGCTTTCCTCCTGAAGATTACTCAAATATCTCTCACACACAAAAATTAATTAATCAAGAAAAATATCAATAAAGATGAAACAAAAAAGACATCAAAACTTAACGTCAAAGGCATGAGGCAAAACAAAGCATTCTCTAATAAGGTTAGTGCCGATAATTTTTTTTAACGCCAAGCTTCTGCCATTACAAAACATAAAAGACCAAAAAGTTAATGACTCCTAATCATAAACTAATCCTAAATTAACTTTAATTGAATTACTCAAAACTAACTAAAATACTTTATGGGTCAAAACTCTTAAACTCATTAAAACTCTAATTATAAATTAATATCAAATAAATAAAGAATAAAACACTTGGAGAGTTTGGGTCAAACTCTAACAGTATCACTTGAACCAAACTCTTCAATCTTGATCAGCTCCATCATCCGCTTAAGCTTCATAAATTCATCAAATTTAAGTGGTTTGGTAAAAATATCTACAATCTGATGATCGGATTGACAATACAAAATTTCAATCTCACCATCAATAACCAAGTCACGAATATAATGGTACTTGACATGAATATGCTTGGTTCTCCTATGAAAAACTGAAATTAATGTATAAATGAATGACGAGTGATAATTTTCGTATTTCAATTATTTGAAATTTTTTGGGTAAAGACTGATGTTGTCTGTTATTGAAGATCTTCTTGATAAACAGACCTTGGGCCACTTAAAGGCATACTTGGCCAATGATCTTTGATTGTTTACTCTCATGTAAGTTTGCATCACTTTTATGTCAACATATATGTTATACATTTTCATTCATGGAGGCTTACTATCCAGAGCGTTTAGCTAAGTGTTTCATACTAAATATGCCACGGTTTTCCGTGAGTGTTTGGAGGATAGTATGCCGATTCCTTGAGAAAGCGACGCTAGAGAAGGTATGCAATGTAATTAGTAGTAATTTTCTAGTTGAAGATACATTAGATAACCTTCTTAACTGGGTTGCATAGACTGGATGATCCATGACCACCATGAGGTATACTGTCGGTGAATATGCCATTTAGATATACCTTGACTTGCTGTATGCCAATACCTTCTTTTTTCCAATGACTGACAAATTATCTGTTTTGGTTCATAATTTTCATTTGAATTTCAAGCTGTGATTTTGAATTTGTCATAACGAATGCAGATCGTAATTGTGAACAATGAAGACGAAATGAGGGAATTTGTTAGGGAAATTGGTGAAGAGGCCTTACCCGAAGAGTATGGCGGGCGAGCAACGCTCGTGGCTCTTCAAGACGTTGTACTTACCCCATTGGTAACTCAATAGATAAATCGATGTGGCTTCGGTTGCAAACCCAAGTCTCAGGAATCTGATGTGTATGAATGATACCAGTTACACCTTGTAACCTTATAGCTTATTAAGTACCACCAATTATTTCTTGCGTCACATTAATACTCTTGACCCCCAAAACTATTGCTCTTGTGATAGAAGAGTACTTTGTCAAGATTGAAGGTTTCAACTTGATGCCTCCTTTTGCTTGTAGATTTATGTGATGAGTTTTGGTACAAATAGAAACGTCGACTGCCAAAATCACCAGGACACTATAGCTTCAATCCATAGTCCTCCACGATTCACTCGCCTTCTGGTTTCATTGATCCATGCATCATTATCATGTAACTTGAGCTGACAGGGTAGGACAAGGAATTTTGTTTTTGCACATTGTTCTGATTAGTTTAAAAATCACATTGGTCGAGACATACTAAAACACCCTGAAATACCTCAAAAGAGTATGAGTTTCGATATTCAATCACTAGTACATTTTTGTTTCTACAGAAACCAAAGTGTTTTGGTTGTTTGAAACGTAATTTCCATCCATGGGTAGAGTATAACATTGTTTCCACTAGGCTTCTCTTCAAAGGAAAATCAGCTTTTGTAGATAGGCAAATTAAAAAATCTGTTAAAGAGTGTAGTTCTTTGATTGAAAATCCTCCAAATTGAACTACCACCACAAGTAGTTCTTGCTCAACTCATCTCTATGCCGTGGTAGATTTGCTGGTCCAAACTTTTAATTTTCTTCGGCTAAATCTGGCTCCTGTTTTAGCAAGATAGTGTTGGATTGTATTTGGATCATCTCAATTTCAAAATTTACCAATGTCGCTCATATTAAATCATTCACCGTTAAGTTCAATGGGTCTCACGAGAGTGAGATTTTATGGTTCATTTTTCAATTTGTACGTGTTATCTTTGCACAGGGGTCATGCTAATCTTTTCTATATCGTTCTAATTTTATCGGATGTTCCCGAAGGGACAAGAGTGAGTGAGATTTTTATGGGTCCACACATTAAGGCACAAAAGAATTTTACTACAATTTATAAAACTCGATCGATTTGCATCTGTTTAGTACAAATACATTATTTGAAAAGTATAATAATCAATTATTTATTATAATATCTATTATAATAATGACCTATCAGTATAAATTTACATATAAAAAAATCACATGCTCCCGCATTTCTCCAACACTAACAATTGCAGTTGACCAAAAAAAAAAAAACAATCGCAGCTGGTTGGGTTTTTTTTAACTAGCAAAATTGTTGGTTGCTAGATGCAATTCCCATGTTTTTGGGGGTGTTGAAGAAGAAAAGAAGTGCAGCATCCAGCCTTCCAGGATGTGGGACAGTCTTAGGAATCAACCACAACTGTCCATTTCATTTCGCCAAACCCCTTTTCCTCTACTCTATCTCTCTCTCCTTCTCAATTATTTATTCTCTTCTTCAAGTGTTCCGTTTTTGTCAACACCACTGTTCTCTCTTTCTCTTTATCTGCCTTTTTTCACAAATTCAATTTGAATCCATCTTTCAGTTCAAAGCCATATTTTAGATCTCAAACCAACCCATACTGTTCCTACCCGAAATCCGAAATGGACAGAAACCAAGAAATTGCACTGACCCAGATGCGGAAATCGGTTGAAAAGCTTATGTCTTCCACAGAGGTAAGTTATAATGCTGTAATCACTCTCTCACAAACACACAGCCATATTTCCTGCACAATGCACTATGTGAATTGGTCATCAATTTTGTTCCTTTAGTACAAAAATATTATTGCTTGCAGAAGTATGGAGACCCAGCACTCATGAGGTTCTTGATTGCCAGATCAATGGACCCAGACAAAGCTGCAAAGATGTTTGTTCAGTGGCAGAAATGGAGGACTGCATTGGTGCCTTCAGAGTTCATCTCTGACTCTGAAGTTGGCGATGAATTGGGATCTAAAAAGATTTACTTACAGGGTTTATCAAAAAATGGACACCCAGTAATTATTGTAAGAGCAAGCAAGCATTTTCCTTCCAATGATCGGCTCCAATTCAAAAGTAATTTCCCTTCTTTTTTTTCTCTCTCATTGTCTTGCATTAATTGTCATTGATTAGTCAATAATCGCGTGGTTTCTGTCCCTAAGAGATTAGATTCTTTTCTGATTGATGATACAATGATGCCTTCTTATCTTATATTGTCCTATATTGATGGGCCATCATATGAATGTTCCGAAAAAGAAAAGTTTCATAACAAAAGTCCATTTTGATTTGAACAACTTGAAGTTTATCAATACTTTTAGTATGCTTAGACTTATTGTCACGGGGCCACTCACTGTTGGTGATCCCGGGTTTGTTAGCCTTTCATTGTTGGAAAATTTCCTCATATGGTTGTTTTTTTATAATTGTTTTTATGAACTTTAGGAATGTCATGCTAAAGGGCAATAATGTAGTTTTAAGTCACAATCATCATAGTCACCAAAGCCTATTGCTAAAGATAATGTTCCTACGATTATTTAATATTGAATTAGAAAAGGCCATTAATATGCCCTTTTTAAAATAAAATAAGTGGTTTTGGGCTAGTGATTATGAAATGATTCCACCTAATGATCAGCAGTCCAGCTGAATTTTGGCACTTGGAATTCAGCGGGTTATAGAATATTCTTTATTAGATTGGTAGGCCTGATGAATTTCCCCTTAAGAAAATGTTATCAGATAAAAACAGCTTATGTGTTTCTTGATCTCGTGTAGATACGGCTTTTTATGTCGACATTTTTGTTTATCTTTGTTTTGCAGCTTTGTTTTGTTTATTTATTAAATTACAAAGTCAAATAACTCAAATCTTAACTTTGTGAAGTTACTTTCCGGAACTTTGTGGTGAAGTTCATTTGGTAAAAAATTTATGGTCATTATGCATGGGGGCGCAAAGCTCCATTTGCTGATTGTGGCATAGGAGAAATAAATGTTGTGGTACAAGTAAAGCTTCTTTTCCTGCAGTCAACTTCTTTTTTGTTAATCAAAAGATCGCGAACTTCATTGCCTCTCCATCAGTTTTTCGTCCCTTTATTCTAATACCTCCCGGCATCCATAGCATTCCGGGCTTATTTAATCAATCCTGATTCTGGATACATATTTTAGTAGCAATCAACATATTTCCACATGCAACATGAGGAAGAGGCAAAAACAAGTATGGATCCTACACTCGGATGGAAAATGTCCTCTTAAATGATATGTTTCTGACTCATAACAAAATAATCCATCCATTTGCCAATGAACGAAAAAATGCAAGTGAACGGAAATATCATTTTCGTCTCGTCTCTCAATAACAATTAGACGATAAATATCTGATTCGACTTTTCTTTGCCTCTTGGTGCAGAATTCGTGGTTCATTCGCTAGACAAAACAATTGCAAGGTATCATTCTAATTATTTTTTTGATGATTGAAATGTGTATGGATATCGGTTTAATGGGTTATTGTTGAAAGTGCACGGCTAAATGTGGTTGTAGCTGTTGTTGGTAATATATATATATATTGATAATTAGCTATTGTTTTTAATAATTTTTTTTTTTGAGAATAGCAAGAAAGAAGTAAGTTAAAAAACATGCTTATAAAATTGTCTTCTTCAAAGTGCATGTGCGTGTGTAGAAAAATGCTTACATTTACAAAGGGGAGTGGATTATTTCAATCATATGAGGGATAGCATGACTTTTTGGTTTCCTTGTGAATCTTGGTAATGAAGATGTTCAAAGTTCTCCTCTTTTGTTCATTCAATGAAAATGTAGTGCAGCTCTTCTGTACAATAGGTGTTGTGTAAATCTAATCTTTTTGTTTTACAGAACTTTTTTTGTTGTTGTTTTGTCTGATTTTGACTGTTTCTATCAATAATACCAGTCAATCAGCTCTATGCGGAATTTGCATTTCTAGAGCGCATAATTATTTTGTACAAATGAAAGCTATCTGGTGAGATGATGCTATCAGAGCAGACATGATTTCTTTGGGATAGTTGTCAATGATTGTAGGTTTGCAGAGAAAAAGATGAGGGGTTCTTGGCCTTCATTATTTTTGACAAGCTTGGCATGTCTCTGCCTCTCTGTCTTTTTCTGTTTCCTTGTTTTTAAAGGTCTGGCAATTACGAGGTGGACTTCTAGGCTACGGATGAGGCTACACAAGTTGAATATGTTTTGGTTCATCATTTTCCCAAAAAGGTGAAGCCTAATTCATAACTAGGGGCACCAGTCGAGAGTGGAACAAATTATTGCATAGGTATCAGAGGGGCAACATTGAAAATATCAATATACTTAAGGCTATTTCATAAATCTTGAAAAAAAATTACACAGTATTTAAATGGCCAATATGTAATTTCTCAGACTTAGGGTCAATGGCTCCCTGGTCCTAAGGTGGATTTGCCACAGCATCCGGACTTATACTTGAATATTTTAGTTGATTTCACATTCTCTCCTTTGATTCAATTTTCGGGGTTGATCTCTTGTCCATGTTCACATTTCGATAACTAGTGTCCAGTGACAATGTCGTTACCTGCAAAAAGTTCAATAAAGTGTATATCTGCCCTTGCGTTTTGTTGTGAGTGAGCATTTTAGGTGTCTTTATCATACTATTCCCAGTCGTCCAATTCATAACGCTAAGCAAAGCACAGATGGTTTCTGTTGCAGCATGCCTTCTCTTGAAAAAGAGTTTTTTTTTTTTTTGGTTTTATTGTTTATATATGATGATCGAAAAGAAAGAGAGCATTTATTGGGGGTTCCTTTATCTGGCAAAATTGGGATATGTTAGCCGCCATGCATATCTATCTCTGTTTCTCTTCAAGGTCTGGCAATGATGGGTGCTCATCTTGGCTAAGCCAAGAGGGGTATTATATCTGTTGGGTGTGTTTGGGCTGTGGCCATATGACCCTTTGACCTTATTGAATCTTTGGTTGTTTGTGTTTGGGACTATGATTCAATTTAGTTGCTTGTTCTACTTTTGTGCTTGCTTATTTTCTCTATGTTCGTACATGGAAAAAGTCATTTTTTACTAAAATATTTTCCTATGGAAAAAGTGCATGCACACATTTATATGCACGAGAGAGAGAGAGAGAGAGAGAAAAGAGAGAGAGAGGGGCATTTAGCAAAGGAGGGGAAAAAGGAATTGTGTATTGAAAATATTGAATATTTACCTGGGTTTTTCTTCTTATATAATCTCTTCTTGGCTGTGGCTTGTATTTGTACAGACAGATATTAATATACTTACCTGGATACTAATATAACTTTTGAAAGATTGGCGCCTTCTTCTGTGACTTGTGGTCTTCTTCTCACATTCTAGCTGCTTGCGAGTTTAGCTTTATGATAAACATCTTGTTCCTTTTTCATTTAGCACTTTGTGCAATATTATATGTCTACACATATATCATTGTATGTCTATTATACTCACTCTCTCTCTCTCTCTCTCTCTCTCTCTCTCATCCTAGCAAGAAATTTCATTCTCGCATAGATTTTGTGTACTTTTTACAGTTCTTTTAAAGGCAGAGAGATTGGAAATGAAAAGTTGGTTGCTGTTCTTGATTTTCAACAAATTACATTCAAAAACGTTGATGCTCGTGCGTTAATCACTGGTTTTCAGTTTTTGCAGGTAATTCTTTTTTCTGTTATCATTCTGTTACAGAAATTTTAGCCTAAACAATAGATAAGAAGCATATGAATTATGAAGGTGTTTATACAGCTCTAATACAATTTTTTACTGGAAGTTCTTTTGGAGTCATTTCCCTTGGCACAAATAATTGAACAAAAGTGGTGTCTATGAAAACATAACAGAGGGAGTTCGGTCTTCACAAATCAATTTTGAAACTAACTCAACTGCGGTCAATTTATACTATCATATGTTCTTTTGTGTTCCCTATGCATAATGCCATGTATAATAGCTTGGAATTGGTTCTTTATTTGTTAACTTGATCTATAGTTTGAACATGAAGAACACGATCAAGGTTTTCTTCTGGTGTACTGGCTTCTAGTCATGGTGCTGCCATGAACTGGCTGGGGTTCGCGAAATTTGTGCAGATCACCTTTGTTAGAGGCCAGACCTCTGGTTGTGATGACAAATCTGGTTCTGGCTTTATTATTGATGACTCATAATAAGCAAGTGTAGGGTAATATCGTAACTACCCCTTATATCCTTCTTGTATAAATAAGAGGGTGTAGGACAACACAACTCATACACAGATTTTCTTCTCAACTTCTCTTTCTCTCTTTCTCTCATTTCACATTTTCTTCAACCTTTATACCAGTTTTCTGATTTAACTGTTGATGCACATTGTTAGGCCAAATGTAGTACATATGGTAGTCCGAATAAATCCAAAAAATGTTGTGACAAGGCTTGCTTTGTTGAGTTGACGTAGTCTGAATAGAGTAAAAGTTTAGAAGGCTTAATCCTCATCAGAGATTGTCACAACCCCCAAGTATTTTACTGTAAATTCCTTGAAAAGAACTAAAAGTCTGCTGCAATTGATACCTTACTGTTCCTATTAGTTTTTTTTTTTTTTTTTGAAGGGGAAATATATTAAGAAAAAACAACAATTACAAAAAAAACAGAACTGTAGAAGCAAAACAGTAACTGTTTGAACAAATTCAAACAGAAAACTGTACAAAAAACAGAAAATCTGTTCAAAGAATGAAAACAGATCCTGTACAGTAACTGTAAAATGGTCTTGCAACACGGCACAGCACCATATCTGTCCAAAAGAGGCACCTGCAGCACAGACCAGCTCACTTAACATAAACTGTTGCCTGATGCAGAAGAGAAAACCCAAAAAAAGTTGGCTTTAATCCTACAACAGGATAAAATCCCTGAAAACAGCTCCTGGGCAATCCTCCAAACCCAAGCTGGACAATCCCTGCACAAACCCATCAACAGAGTCACTACACCCAGCACAGCACAGCACACAGCCCAGCAGCAGCAGCAGACAGCCAGACAAGCAGAAGACCACTGAAAAAACCGACTGCCCCAGCAGCAGAGAGCTACACTATACACCCCTGGTGACAAACCATTGCAACACAGCAATTGACATAAGAGACACACCACATCAGACATAACAGAAATTACCAGACATAATCCAGGCCCTCTGCTTCTAATTGATCCCAGACAGACACTGTTCACAATCTAGACAAACAACACAGCCCAGGGCACCAAGCAGCAAATGCACATCCACAGTAGCCTCCTCATCATCCAACTAAACCCTATGCTCACATATACTCACCTTCTTCAATCTAGCAGAAGGCATCATGCCTTGATCCTGTTTCAGAAGTAATCTACCAGCAGTAGGCAGCACACCATTTTCAGAAAAGTCAGAGTATCTACCAGATTGCACTGCATAAGAAGCCAGAAAATCTGCAATTCTATTGGCCTCCCTATACACTTGCCTAATCTGGAAATGCATTTTTCCAAGCATATCTGAAATTTGTTCCATATAAACTGATAATCTCCATGGAATTTCAACTAAACCCAACACCATATTAACCAACACTTGAGAATCAGATTCCAAAACTAGATGATAAGCACTCAAACCATAATGCATTATCATTTTCAAACCATCCAGCAAGGCTAGACATTCTGCTCTCATATTAGATCCAGTCCCATAAAATGCAGCTGCTGCTAACACTATATGCCCCTTAGAGTCCCTTAAAACCATCCCTCCACCAGATAACCCATTACCTTTTGAGGCCCCATCAACATTTAATTTCATCTCATTCACAGCTGGAGGTTCCCATTTAATCCATGTCACCTTAGTGATGACAGAAAAAGGGGGAACAATCCTAAGGTCCTGCAACATATCTTTACCAATCCTACCTTCATCTTTCTTAGGCTTAATCATAAAGGCCTGCCATTTCAATGCATTGACCACCTGTATGAAGACAGCATGACTATTCAAGCTCAATCCCTCAAATCTCCTCCTACACCTTTCTTTCCATAAAGCCCAGAAGATGAGCATAGAAACACCTCTGATTAAAGCATGGCTAAGAGAGAGGCCTTTGAAACACCTGCATATTCTCAAGAACCTACAAATAGGAAATTCTCCAGGCACAACCTCAAAGCCAATGACAGCAGCAATTTTGCTCCAAACAGAATGAGCAAAAGGACAAAGAACAAAAATATGAGCATCAGTCTCCTCATCCATCCCACATAAGCTGCACTTGCTGATTAAAGACACCGCAATACTTCTTTTCTCTCATCAGTTGTCAATGCCTTCTTATAAATTGTCCAAGTACATAGCTGAGCACTAGGAAGCACTTTCTGATTCCAAATCCTCTGTGCAATGACACTATGCACCCTGGTCCTCCTAATCTGATCCCATGCAGATTTGATTGAGAAAATCCCTGAGTTTGTATGCCTCCACACTCTTTTATCAGCCTTCCCTGGCACCAATACACCAGAACTTCTTGTGTCATCTTTCAATTGAGGTGTAAGCCATTCATCATCCTCTTCAAAATGCCACTCACTATCATACCATAAATCATTAATCTTGGGAAAGAAAGAAGGGAGACTTTCAATTCTGTACAGAAAAGGTCCATTCTCCATCCATGAGTCACACCAGAAGTCAGTGCACTGACCATTTCCAAGCAAAACCCTAGAATTTGTCACCACAAAGTCAAACCAGGGTCTCAAGATCTTGAAACTCATTCCTGCTCCATTGTTACTGCATCTCAACAAATGCCTTCCCTTAAGGAATTTTTCTTTAAAAACCTTTGCCCATTAAGAATACCCCATACCTGCTTAGCTCTGAATGCAGATTGAATTTCCCCAAAACATCTAATACCTAAACCATCTTCAATTTTAGGCTTAGATACATTCTCCAAAGATTCCCAATGTCTTCTTTTAACATCCAGCTTACTAGACCAAATAAAACCAGCTATATAGGAGTTCAATTTCCTTAAAATCCCTTTTGGGATATTCAAACAAGCCAGCATATGAATTGGAATAGCACTCAAGACAAATTGCACTAGAACAATCCTGCCCATTCCAGAAAGCATCTTGGCATACCAACCCTCAATTCTACTTCTAAAAGTCCTCATAATCTCCTCAAAATAGCAAAGCCTCACCCTACCTCTGATAATGGGACATCCCAAATAAGAAAAAGGACATTTTCTTGTGGGAATCCCCTCCAATGATGATAAAACATTTCTCCTTACCACTGAAATTCTTTTGGAGCAATACATAGCACTCTTAGATTTATTCACCTTTTGACCAGAACAAGATTCATGCCCACCAATGAACTTCAAAATATTCAACACAGATCTTTTAGTACCCCTCATAAACAACAAAGTATCATCTGCAAAAAGTAAGTGACTTACCACTGTAGTTCCTCTACCAATGTGATAATGATAAACTAAGTTCTGCTGATATATTCTTTTTAACCCTCTGCTCAGAACCTCCTCTGCCATATCTTTGTCCATTTAAACAAATAGAGAAGTGCTGAGTATTCAAAAAATTAAGAATAATTTGAGTAAACAGGTTGGAGAATCCAAAACACCTCAACACTTGCAATAAAAGTCCCACTCAAGCTATAATATGCTTTCATCATATCCAACTTCATGACCAGATTACCTCCCTCAACTTTTCTGTCCAATTCACCAATAATTGCCCCAGTGTCACACAATCCCCAATCCCTCTTCCTTGCACAAAACCATGCTGTTCCTCAGAAATCAGAGAGGGCAGCAAAGAAGAAAGCCTTGTAGTGAGCAGCTTACTAAAGATCTTATATAAGAAGTTGCATAAACTAATGGGTCTAAAATCAGAGAAAGAAACAGGTGCATCCTTCTTTGGAATTAAAACCAACAAAGTAGAGTTGACTGATTTAGGCATCTCTCCTCCTTTCAACAAAAAATTCACAGCTGACCATACATCCCTCTTAATAATCTCCCAGGCAAACTGAAAGTATTTACCTGATAGGCCATCAGGACCAGGAGCACTCTCAATGGCCATAGAGAAAACCACTTCTTTCACTTCTTCCAAAGAGGCCTCAGCTACCAGCTTCTGATTATCCTCATAACTCACCAGATTAGGAATCACATCAAAAACATGGTCCTGTAAAACATGATTTTCAGATCTATACTTCAGCAATATTCTGATCACCCTGAACCCTATTGCCCTCCTTAATCTGAATTCTAGAAACCTTGTTCCTAGTCTTTGTACTTTTAGCTAAGGCATGATAAAATTTGGTATTTCTTTCCCCTTCCCAGGCCCACTTAATATTGGATTTTTGCTTCCGATAAATTTCCTCCCTCCTGAGCCAATTATCCTGATCACTTTTAAAACTCTCAAGCTCTAGTGACTTAGCAACACTATACTGCTGATCCAATTCCATTTCTGCAGTCTTAATTTTCTGTTCTTGAGCCTTAATGTTTTCAAATAGGTCTCCAAAAACTTCCTTATTCCTCAACTTAATATGGGCTTTTAAGTATTTCAGCTTGATAAACAAGTTAGCCATAGGATTATCAGAGTAAAAACCACCCCATTTCTCAGCAATAAGAGCTCTGAAACCCTCATGATCACACCACATATCTTGGAATCTAAAATATGAAATTCTTCTTTGATTTGGACCATCCCTGATTTTCAGAAACAAAGGGCTATGATCAGATGTACCCCTGGCCCAATGAACAACCTCCATGCTATCAAATCTCATATTCCAGTCCACATTAATCAAAGCTCTGTCAATCCTTTGCATCATCCTTATGTGCCCCTGCCTGTTATCACACCATGTGTATTTGCTCCCACTAAAACCAGCATCCATCAGACCTCTCTGATCCATAAAGTTCCCAAAGTCCTCCATAGCAGACAAAGAAGGAAAAGCACCTCCTTTTCTTTCCTCTGAGCATAGAATAGAATTAAAATCCCCAACCACTAACCAAGGGGTATTTGCAGGAACATTCACCTCCAATAAATGCTCCCATAATGCTCTTCTGACAGTTTGATTACAGCTAGCATACACCACAGAAACCCAGAAAACTGCATCATTCATAAATGTCAACTCCACAGTCAAAACCTGCTCATGAGCAAAAAGCACCCTTATATTTACTCTATCATCCCACAAAAGCCAATATTTCTCTCTGCTAGAGTTTGAAAGAGAAATGGTTCAACC